ATAACAGGTAAATAATCTTGTAGCTGAATCTTTTTTATTTTTATTTTATAATTAACCATTTATTTTTTTAGTATTACCATCGATAACTTACTAAACATTGAAGACTTAGCTTCATTTGTAGATGATACTGTTATCTTTGACTGTCTCAGAGTCCCTATGGGCTAAGTCACCGATGAATGGTAGAAAATGATACTGAACAATGTTAATGTTTTTAGATATTTCATTGCTGTGGTAATAAGAATACATATCATTAATGTCCTTAAATGCAATGACGATCTTTACCTTATTAATGCATCAGCACTAAATGAAATCAAATCGTTAAATTATATAACATGTGAATTTCAACTCCCTCATAATAATTCAACAAACCTCGCAAATGAAATTGATGCGAATTTATTAAATGATTCTTTAAATAAACAAAGGCATGGTCGTAAATGTAGACATGGAAATAAATGTAAACACAGTGGAAATTTTAAAAGAAAACAATGAACAAAGGTTATAGTATAATTGCTTAATATAGCAGATAGTAATACATATTGCTTAATATAGTAAATATTGCGATTAAATCAATTATGGGTCATTGTAATCAAAACACAAGTTGCTATTTTATGTTAACATAAATTGATTGTAAAAAGTATTTGTAAAATGAGTTTTCATATTAATTTTATTAATATATATATATTATATTATATAGTATAAATAGTTGCAATATACATTAAATATATATTAAATTTAGTAATTTAAGGTACAAGTAAATGTAATATATATCTTAAAATGTATAAATAAAAAATATATTTTTAAAAAAGTAACATTGTTTGTAACAATACATTATAAATATATATTGTACAAGCATTTAAAAAATAATTCATATTTCATTGACTAGAATCGCTAACATATCTGGTGTTGCCTATAAATAAAAACAAATACAATAAATAAACATAATAATAATTAAAGAATAGTAAATAATAAATTATACATATATAATTTACTGAATTATCATTTTGAATGATCTAATTGTTTAAAACTAGTTGAATGTTGCTTGGTGATTTTTCTTTTTCTTTTTGGGGAATTACCGAAGGTTTGTAACGTAAAATAAATTTGTTTATTATTTAAAGGTTTGCCAGGATGTGGTATATTTGGGTTTGAATCTTTTATAGAATTATTAGTATTTTGACGAGTATCAGGATGATCATCTACAAAGTCGTCTATATAATAGTTGACAAGATAGTAATTAATTATTATTTATGCTTATAGATTTTTAAATACCAAAATTTCAAATAATGACTTACCAACATCATCAACATAAGATTTTTTGTTAATAGAATAAGATTCTTCTGTATCATTCATTATAAAAGAAGATTCTCGTATATCTCAATTATCATCTACACTTCTGGAACTCTTACTGTGAGTCGTGACAGAAGGACTTTGCTCTTGATTATCAACTGCATTCTGATTTCTTACTTAGTTTGTTTTTGCAACTGTAGCATCTGTTATTTGATTTGCAGATTGATGAATAATAACAACCAAAACATCAGACGGATCTTGATCATGAATAATAGATTGATCTCGATCACAAATTTTAACAGGAGAACCTCGATCACTAGTTTTATAAGAAGAGTAAGTATCATCTTGATCATAATCATCATTCTCGTAATTGTCATTCTCATACTCATCATCATCATATTGTTTCATAGAACTTGCGGAATGATGACTAACTCAAGAATGAACGCTATTTCTAGTGCTTACAGACCACCACCTCTAGAACTTGTAGACTGACCACCTCTAGAACGTCCATTTGTTCTCTCATAAAGCATAATCAATAAATTATATTATTTCTTAAGAAAATTTATTTAAGAAAAAAAGAAATTTTAAGAAAACTTATTTAAGGAAAAAAAAAAGAAATTCAGAAAATTTCCATTAATTAACTTTACATCATTACAAATGTTCAATTAAATTCAATAATTAATTAGTTAAATATTGTGATAATATTAGTGATGATTATTAATTAGTAGTTACATTAACAAAGTATATCAGACGGAGACTGTTTTTAATTAATACTAATTTGATTAACTTTGATTTTTTTCTTAAAAACAAAAAATTCTTCTTTAATTTTTTCCTTAAAAACTAAAAAATCAATGATGCCTAAAAAGGCTACTTTTGACCATACATATCCTACCCTTCGTGATTCAATTAATGCACAAAAAAAGCAAAAGATCTCGTTACAAGAAAGACCTTTTTCATCTATATCAAATATAAAACCTTTAGGAACCATTGTAACTCCAAATATTTCTAATCACATTGGTTTTATTAATCAAGATACAGCCTCAAAATACGTCTATAATACCTTTAATACTTTGGATAATAACAGAAATGACTTTATTAAAATGTTAGAAACAGAAGATACAATAGATAATCTGCAAAATTTTAACTTTAACGATGATTTTTCTTTTTCACCATTAAGACTGACTTCACTGACTGTTTCTATGTTTGATAGCAATGATAATGAAGAACAGTTCCTTGATAGTGACAATAATGAATATAATAATGATTTTGTGTAAAATATAGATAACAAAAAAAATATAATATTAATACTGAATTACTAGGATATACAGGTGATAGCGGTTCTTATTTTTCAAGTCTTAAAACAATGTGGATATTTATATAGTTTACAAAAAATAATATAGGTAATATTCGATATTCTAGACGTTAAGTATTCAACCAATAATTTACAGGAAATTTAAATTTTTTAGGTATCAATACTTATCAAGATCTTGTTAAAATTATACGTCATCCAGAATTTAAAGCAGATCAGATTCCTTATAGTGTAATGACTATTAAGAAGATTCGTAAGGGGTTGCTTTTACTGCCAATTATGGGAAAACTTGTTCTAATTAATTTGAAAGATATTTCATCAAAAACTTTACCATCAAAAGAAGCATATACCTTCTTAATTAAGGATCATATTCATCATATAATTAATAACCCAATGTTAATGCCAAAAATGTATTTTGGACCCAACGTTGAGAAGAAAAAAATATTGAAATATGACATGAAGATTTATGGAAAGAATCTCCGTTGTTTAATGAAACAACGGTTACAATAAAAAATAGTCAGTAAATTAATTGACTTTATTGTAAAAGTAAAATTTAATAATAACACAAAATTTAATTATTGAATTAAAGTTACATTTAGTTCGAATGATTGGATACTATATAAGAAATTGCAAAATCAAAATTGTCACGTAAGCAGGATCACTGAGGTTATAGTAATAAATGAAATGTCATCTGAACGCAAGCTTCATATACAACTCACAAGAAACTTTGGTGAACTACCCAGTAATGTTAAAAGTAAAGAGTGAAACCAAAGATCAAAAAATAATAGCGAATTATGGTTAAAGAAACAAGAATTATAATTAAGATCTAAGACGTAATTCATCATATTAACGTTTGGATCAAAATGGTGACACTCCATGTCCAATAGCCTTTGACTTTTCGATTTAAAAGATCGTATATATGCTTAATGGTCATCAAAAACTCAGACAGGTTTCTCTTCAATGCAAATTACCTGTAGAGTATGTTAATGTATTACAATTACCACCAGATCCAAATATGAAACATCTCAAGTTTTTTATAGACTTATATTATGATGATTTTGATGCTTTTAATAGGGCGTATCACAAATTAGGGAAATTTATATACAAATCGGCAACATGAAACGTGAATTATGAAAAAAATTGAGAAATCATTTTCTTATTTTATTTTTGCCATTTGGAGGAGAATTTAATGATGTATTAGAAGAATTTATTTCAGATATGAAAGAGTTGCAAAGTGGGGTTCTTATGATAACCAGAAATGAACAAGTGTGGGTATCAGCAGGACTTGGAATAGTTACAGCAGACCTCCTGCAGGGGAACAAGATGGCTGGCATAAAAAGACATAATGCAGAATATGGATTTCGCACTTGCAAAGTCCCTCAAAGCTGATTGTCTGACATTGATTTTGACATATTTCAAAATGGCCGTTACCATCATTTGACAAATAAGATTTTTGATGAAATTAAAGCTTCACAGAATATTACAACAAGGAAACACATTGCGCAAGAATACAAGATATGCCTAATTCCAAATATTTTAGATGATATTTTTCGTGATTGTCATTTGCAAATGCCTCAAGACCCTTTCTATTGTCTAGCAGGATTAGCTTGTTGATTTTTTGATCATTTGTTTAAATGTGAACTAAAAAAATCTAGGCTTGATGCATTTCATAATGAATGAAAATCTTTTGAAATACCAAATAGTTAGAAGCACCTCCAAAGCCCTATTACCCATTTTGAATCTTACTGAATGAGCGATTTACTAAGACTGGTTATAATTATACTCTTTATTCTATTTTGATATTTAATCCCTGCATATTTTAAACAAGGTTTTGCTGAATCCATTAAAAATGAGTGTTTATTAGCAAATATAAGACAGATGAAAGCTGTAATAGTTGAAGCTTGAAGTTTATTTGCTAAATTCTGTGCAAAGGTATTTGCTAATGAATTCTGTAGATCTGTTTATCAAACATTAGATCAATTGTTAAGAAAATTAATCAAAACGTTGAATAAGATGATAAATTATTAATTATTTAAATTTCTGTTAATAGTGTATGTTTACTGCTTAATTTATTCTTATTTTTTAGATTAATCCAGACGTAATAAGTAATTTACCAAATATTCATATTTTGAGGCATTTACCATCAATCGCGATAACATTCGAAACATTACAAAATATTTCTGTATCACTTAAAGAAATGATGCATAATGTGTACAAGAAGGCGATTCTACATACTAATAAAAAGAATGTGAAATTTGATCTTATTAAACAAGATAATATATTGCAAGGAATTCGTAATATAATAGATAATGATTACAATCAAAGAGTTTCTGAGGGTACTAGTAATAATTATATAAGATCAATTATGAAAGATAACAAATTAACATGCTTGTTAGAAGGATAGACATATCTGTTCTGGCTTATCATATAAGAAATATGGATGACACGTATGAACAAGAACAAACCAATAGTCAAAATTAACAAATATTGCTCTTTAAACTTCAATTTTGATATTAATTGTAAAATTATATTTTTAGTAATTGAGCTGCTTCAAGAATGTTTTTTTAACATTCATGTATATAAGAAATAGAATACCAGAAGAATTGAAAAGGAAGGCTTTGTAAAAAAGCTTAGCAATAGTATTCATATGCAGAGATGCTTATATAAAGCTTATTATAATTATTTTAGTAAAGAAACGGTAATTACTTTTAAAATTCTGAAATATTATAATGCAATTTCATATACAGTTATACAAGAGGATGATGTTAATATTGATATTAATATCTACATAAGTGAGACTATTTATATAGAAAATGATAATGGAACTGAAAATTGTGAATATACTCTTATAAGAGGAATTTTTACACATGAAGCAAATGATCATAAAAAATATGCATTTTTTATTTTAGATTAGTTCTATAATACTAGATGAACAGATAATCTTACGGGATGTAAAATCTATGGTCTTCAAGAACTGAATAATAACCTATGGTCTCACGTTTATTCTTTTTATATTGTTGATTGAAATCCATGTATACATTTTGTACATAACTGTAAAGTAAATTGCACTGATCACTATGCAACAAATAATTTGGAATATTTACATAATGAGTTTTTTTATATGGTGGTAAGTAATACTATATTTATTTATTAAATTTTAGCATTAATAGTACTAGTATTAATTAATGTTGAGTTTAATTTTAGATGTAAGTCGAAAATTAATAATATTAGGAAATTATTTGCATATAGTAATAATTCATTTTAACAATACAATTTAATAATAGAATTTAATAAATACATGTTAATAAATATATTTTAACAATACATTTAACAATATATTATAATAATACATTTTAATAATTAATTTCATAATAAATTTATGACAAGTTATTATATAATCTACTTACAATATCAAGAACGAGTATCTTATCAGTAATTATATACGAGATATTATAAATATTAATTTTACAATGCATTTAAAAAATTTTAAGATGATAGCAAAGCAGTATGCGTACAAAGATTTTTCTGTTATACCAAAAGAGGTTCTTCCTACCAAAGGTCATTGGTTAAATATTCTAATTTATATCTGATTAGATCTTTTCTAAACCATATCCAATGATATAATTATGAATGATAATTCTATATAATAAATTTTTCTTGCATGCTTTGTAATATGTATGAATATGATAGTTTTCAGTATTGCAAAAAAAAGTATATTGTGATCTTCCTCTATTAATGGGCTGTCCAGTAATAACTTACTTGATTTATATGTTTTCATGATAAATTTCTTCTAATTCATCCTTAGGGAATTTGTAACTAACAACAGCAATCAGAATTGTATTAGAGTATTATTAAAATAGTTCTTTCTCAAACAATTCATCATTTTCTTCAAATTTAAAAAAAGAAATATGCCATTCTATATTTTCTTTTGGATCTCTTATACTATTATTTTTATTTTCATAATCTGCTATATTTATTTCAATAAGATTAATGATAAAATATTCAGCAATTTCTTCATCATACATATATGATAATATATCAGCATTTGTATTATGCTTTTCAGCTCTATGTTCTATAGTAAAATGATATTGTTACAGTTTTATGATCCATTTAGCACATCTTTCTTTTGGTATTTTTAAGGTTTTTAATCATTTTAAAGCAGCATAGTTAGTTACAATAGTGAATGGTTAGCTTAAATAATGATGGAAATGTTTAATTAAT